CACTGGCGCAGCGCACGGGCACAGCGCGCGTGCAGCACGCGTGATACGGAAGTGGTCATCAACCCAGGCGAATCGGAGGATGAAGGTGACGATGGTCTTGACATATGGTTGGAAAACATGTTGGAGGAGCCATCACGACCGATATATCGACCATCATGTGAAAGAGACTGGCCAAAAGGATGTGGTCCACGGGCTAAGTTGAAGTTCAAGAAGTGCCGGGCCAAAAGGCGACGTAAAGCAAAGACTCGAAAAGCAAGTCACTGTTGGTGCAAGCCTTGTGCAAGGAAAAGGCGAGCACGAAAGAAGGAGGCTAAAAGGCGTGGTTTGCGATGGGTTAAAAGTGGATGGTGGATACCGACGAATGATTGTGTGAGGTTGAAAGGTTGGGATCCGTGGCCCGAGCCAACAGGGACGGGCGGTGACAAAGAAGGCGAGGGTGACCGGCCAATGGGCGAATGGTGCGCATCGGTCCATGATGTGCGCGGTTGGACCGAATAGGCCACACACAGGGACGCGATGGACGAACGAGTCACGAGCGTCGACTGGGATGCGTTGGCGTTTGGCAGTCGGAGGGAACAAGGTGCAAGCGGGTACACGGCTGAGGAGCAGATCGAGGATGTTGGCGGTACGCGCGGCACTGCGGGCGCACGAGGCTGCGTGATTGAAGAGCGGACATCGGAGACTGGCGGCACGCGCGGAGCAGCAGGCGATGGGCGTGCGGGGCGCGCTGGGCGCACGAGTGGCGATGACGTGGGCAGAGGCCTACGCTGGGAAGGACTAGGAGAGCGGGGCGCGAGGTACCACGCGCGGGCGGAAGGCGGCGCAGGAGAAGTGCGCACAATACCGCGCGCGTGCACGGAGGGCGCGAGACAAGCCGCAACCGACGAGGATTAGGTCTTGCGGGCGGCGCGCACGCATGGAAGGGGCCGAGAGTTTTGAACATGTGGGATTTTAGGGACATTCTAGAATTGCTTGGTGTGCAAGCCAAGCATTAGTTATTTGGTAGGTTTAGGATTTTATTGCTTCCTAGAGTTAGGATTTATTTTATTGCATAGAATAGGAGATCTAGATCTATTAGGCTTAGATTTATCTTGCACCTATAAGTACCTCATGTACCTCATCATATTTTATGTCTTGAATTGAATGTTGAATTGGTGAGCCAATTTTGAGGGGAACTTTATGTTCTAACGTGTGATAAACAAGGCCGTTAGTGCGTGTTTACATAGTGTCAGAGAGAAGGCCCTGAGGGCGTCTCGAAGTCACAGTGTCTAGGAGAAGGCCCTGAGTGCGTCTGCTAGATACATCTATCGTGGATAAACGAAGGCCCTGAGTGCGCCGTTTATTCACAACCCAACGTATAGATAAACACATCGATCAGCGATCCTTCATCATTGGTGCTTTCATTGAGAGGTGCTGATCGTGTTCTTTATCTATCTTATCTTTTTCTTTTTTTCGGTTTGCCTTTTGCTGAGGGGCCGAATTTCTCTTTATTTTTTGTTGGAGTTCGAATTTTTTGTTCGAATTTTCCCTTTTAATTTTCGAATTTGAGTCTTAAAAAAAAAAAGTGTCATCTTGTAACACCCCAAACTCATGTCGTTCATTTTATGCTTAGTATTATTTTCATGGATATTATTTATGTTTAATTTAATGATTTACAATGTTATTTTTATTTTTATTTTTATTGTAAGCTCGATTTTTATATGATGATTAAGTGAGTGTCCATACTTATTTAATCATCAAGTTAATGATTAAAAGGGAATTATTTAGATGTCCTCATCTATTTAATTTTCCTAAGTATTAAATGCAATTATGTTAATATAATTTTAATTATGAAATGGCTTAATTTAATTAATATAATTTTAATTTTAATTTATTAATGAAGATAATAAATATTAAGATGATAAATTGAGCTCAAGTAACAGTCCAATTTTCCCAAGCCAGATAAAAATCTCAAGACTTACGATATTTTCATCCCTCATCCAAGCAACAAGAATCCTAATTGTTATCAGATACCTAGTTCTATCATGCAAGAGTTTTTTTTGAAACACGGTATCAAACCCCACACATTACAAATCTCTTCCTTTTATCTCTATCTCTCCCACCGATCTCTCTCACCTTTTCGGCACTCTCATCGCGATCAAAATAAGAATAAGGAACAAGAAAAATCTCTCAACTCTCTCTTATCTCTCGTGTCTCCCTCTCGTTTAACAAAAAAAAAAGAAAAAAAAAGAAAATAGCATGAAGAACTACAGCCTTCATCATCCACCATCGATCGCTCAGCCCACCTCCATCATCTTCAACGTCGAGCTCTCCATCCCCGCCATCGTCCCAGCGGCCGTCCACCATCATCATCATCGCCGAGCTTCATCACCATCATCCTCCACGAACAGCCGCCACCATCAAGCCGAAGCAACCATCACCATCGTAGCTCCATTGCTGTCGGGACCCGAGGAGTTCCGTCGGAGTACCCATCGTAGCCGTCAAGCCCCGTCGAGTTCCGTCGGAGCGTCAACCATAGCCGGCGAGCCCCGACGCAACCCGTAGCCACCACGCAGCAAGCCTCCATTGCCGTCAGCCCTCAGCCACCGTGAACAGTCACCTTCACCACCATCCTCCACCGCGAACGAGCAGCCACCTTCATCGTTCCCATGCAGCCCCTCCACGTCGCGTGCAGGCCCCTTATCCCTATCAGCAACCGCAGTCCATCGTCTAGCCGAGAGCCCCCTTTCGAACCCTACCGTTGTTCTTTTATCCAAGCGGTAAACCCTAACGTATTGACCCTTATGGACTGTTAATTTGAATTCGGATAATATCGTAAGAATTATTAATGTGTTAAGACTTGATAATCGAATCTCGTATGCTTGCTTAAGGTCCGAGTAAATAATTGTTGAGTTATTGTTGAGTTGGAATTTGTCGGAGCCTTGTCGGGCTTCCGTAAGAATTATTTTAATGATATGTGAATAGGGTTTATTGTTGTCAATTTTTGTGTTCATAATCGTGTCTTGTGTGTGATAAACGATCCTAGAACCCATGCTTTAGGTTGCTTTCGAGAGGATATGAAGTTCGGATAAATTGGTATGATTTCATGTGTAATTGCTGTTTTTGTGCTGTCTGTTCGGGAGCAGTTTAGGCCTCTGATACTGTGTTTTCGGTTTTCGAGTTCTTCATATGATATGTAGTTCGTTCAGTTTTGTTTACGTGAGCTTTTGAATCGTGCAATTTCGACTTAAAACGAATAAGTTATGATTTTTATAAAATTGACTGCGCGAGCAGTTTTTTTTTAATTCGACTGCAGTTAGGTTTAAATGTTTTGAGTGTTTATGATATGATAATGTGCTCAAATGAACCTGAAGTCTTCTTGAAATTGTACTTCTATGTGTTATCTTTAATGTGGTTCTGGAATCAAACAAAAATATGGTCCGAGTAGTAAATGATACCCGTTTTCGTAAAACCGCGCATGAATTTATTTTAAATTTCTGGACAGCATTTCAGCTTTGAATGTTTGCTGGTTTTGGACCATGTATATAACCTTATATGCCTTTGAGTGCTAAATACAAGTTGTAGTACAATGTCTTAGGAGCAATATGAGACATGAACCATGTTAATGCGACTTGTATGTTGAAAGATATGCTCGTTTTAAAAATGCAGCACGTGTTAAGTTTTGTCAAAGAATTAAGTGTAATTGTTTAAGTGAGTCTATTGTTTATAAAACATGCTTATGTGATATGTATGAGCTGTAAAGTATCGAGTGAGATCATGATGAACCTTAGATGATTAGAATAGTATCCGTAAGTAAGCAAGCTAAGAGTTCGATTGTCCAAATATTTTATAATAAGAATGTCTTCAAAAGAATGCAAGCAAGGCGAAGCCAAGCGAGCAAAGTTTTTCTAAACCTTATGTATGATTATAAGTATAAGTATAAGTATAATATTAAGTTTCATGTTAAGAAACTAAGACATTACCCCAATGAATGTAGTTTTACGAGGAGTTGAGCCCTCGAGATTTCTTTCAAGTTCAAGTCTAAGCCGAGCATTCTACAGAAAAGGTGGGGGAAGTTCTACTTTATTAATCCTCTTTAATTATCTATGCATCGAATGAAGTTAAGTAGCTTGCATAGTACCCATGTTTATTCAATGTTCCAACATTCGAGCAAGTCGTTTTTTGCAGTACCAAGGTTCACGGACTATAACTCTAGAGGGTAGCTAAGTGCTAGGGTTAGAGGGTGTAAGTGATTATGTGTAACCTTCGTTGGTGCACTCTTCGAACGGTTGTCCCCGTCGATAAGACTGTACGGAGCCTAATGAAAGGCTATCTTCCTTCAACCTATTGAAAGGTACTCTCATCAAGCCTAATTGGCCGTGCCATCTGCGAGAGGCATTGTTCTTCCACCACCCTAAAGTGGTATAAGAAGTTTGATGAGTGGTGGGAGTGTGACAAGAATGTAATCGCCTGCATGCAAAGACTATAGTGTTTAGTTGTCTAATAGTGTTGTAGAAGCAAGAAAGTCTTTCGACTTGTGGGTCACCACTCGTCGGGAGCTCATGATTATGTGGAGTATACGAAAATGATTTCATGCTTTATAGTTGATTAGGATGATAACGTAGAGGGATCTCTCACGGAGTAAGTGGAAATGCTCACCCCATTTTTTTTCCACACCCAGGTTATGGCAAGCTGGCAATGGAGCGATGGCGAGGGTGGTCACATGTTTTTATGTTTATGATATTTATGTTTTAAAAGCTTCCGCTATGCAAAGTTTATTTTATGAAATAAGTCATGGTTCATGCAAGTCAAGTTAAAGTGTAAGTTCTCAAGGCAACGCTATGAAATGTTTATGTTCATGAAAAGTTTTTAATGTTTATGGAAAGATCACGTATGAAAAGTTTTTCAAAGTGAGTAGCACCCTGAGTTCCAAGTAAAGTTTTCAAATGTTTTACAAAAAGAAAAATTTATTCTAGAAATTCAATGTACGAAAAGCGGGGTGTTACAGTTTGGTATCAGAGCCCAAGTTTTGTGGTTCTGTAGACTCGTGAAATATTTTAAAATGTTTCCAAAGAAATGACCACTCGCCACCGTCGCACCATGCCAAATCCGAGGTAAGCTATTTGAGTTAAGTTCTTATTACGTGCATAATAGAATAACATGAGTTGGGGCTTAAGATTCTACCCATGAATGGATTCGAACTCTAGAGATGATCAAACATAGTGAGCTTAGAAGCAAACGATTAACTCTAGTATCTTCCAGAAATGGCAAGAAGGAATCAAAATGCAGTGCCACCGGCCAACGGCATGGATCAAGCTAAAATGATGGGCCATTTTCGAAAGATGGATCCACCAATTTTCACTGGAAAAGAAGGACCGGCACATGTGGATGAGTGGTTCATGACCATGGAGGATATATTCGAGGTATTAGGTTGCACCAATGAGCAAAGATAACGTGCGGTCAATACCAGCTGAAAGAGGATGCTAAGAGGTGGTGGACCACCTATTGGAGGACAAAGCCGGTAGACGAGCGCACGAATTTGACCTGGGAGAGGTTCATGGAGATCATGGCAGAAAAATACTATCCCCGACACTATCGCGAGCAACTGGAAAGTGAATTCTGGAACTTAACTCAAGAGAGCCTAACTGTGGATGAGTATGAGAGGGAATTCACTAGGCTAAGCTATTTCGTGGAGCACCTGGTGGATTGGATTTTGGAAATTTCGGATAATATTTATTTTTAGGGATTATGATCATTGTCTATATGTTCTTCGTAAGCATGCA